GTAAGGCTGCGTTTATACTTTGCGGCAGCGTAGCGTAGCGCTTCCAGCGTACGCCAGCGTGCCGCTGGTGACGCTGGTGAAGCTAGATCGATATGCATCCTCTCTTCGGCACTGCCGCTGGCGTACGCTGGAAGCGCTACGCTACGCTGCCGCAAAGTATAAACGCAGCCTATACGACGACATGATACAGTCTTGTCACTTGTCGCTTCAAAAGCTGGTGGAGAACGGGTTTGGCACCGTGCCGAACTCATCCGGCCTGACACGGCACCGTCCGCAGCGAACTACACTATACCTCTAGCCTCGTCGATGACCGAATTCATATAGTGGGCAACACTAGGTTCTTTATTTCTCTTTGTTGTGTGCCAAACGAGTCTGGTGGTTCCTCCTAGTATGACAACCTTCATTTCTTTTGTGTAGAGTTTTCAAGTGTGCCCATAGTCGACGAGGTCGCCCCGCTGTTCGCTTGACATCCCGGGAGATACCCTCTGTAGAGTTGCCTTCACACTTTGATTCAAGCCATCAGTTGTGCAACTGCGATCAACTGCTCCCCCTCCGCCCATCGTTGGACCGCTGCAAATGCCAATTACTTGTATGCAAACTCTGAGAGATGGGGGCATTAGCGGTGAAGTTGAACGGTCGTAGTCGCTCGTTTGCCATACGCGCGACTTTCGACTGGATTGATTTGACCCAGCGGTCATCACAAAATGTCGTGACGCGTCCGCTCCACCACGTCTTCTGCTCCTCGGCATATACGGCACTGTCCCTGTTCATGATCTTTCGACGGAGTTCACAGCTACAGATAGTCTTTTACACGCATCCAGCGAAGGTCCTGGGCGTCGTTTCTACCCTACTCCACACGAGTTTAGTTCCCTAAACGTTCGCTTATACAGGGGAATCCTAAGACGCGCTATTCCCCTTCTCCAGTGCCTCTCCCGGTGTTTTCAGTCTCTCCATGCCGTCTCTCCTGCTCACTCAGTACGTTTATCCGCCCTAAATGCAGCTGCGTGTTTGAGGGTGGTACTTCCGATGGAGGAGAATGGATCATAAGGGACAGTGTTGTTCCCCACCAACATCGTCTTTGCCAAGTAGCGTTCTGGTGCTTCTTATTGCACGGTTGGCCTCTTCCACCATTCTTCCTCTGCTCTATGCGTGTTGTTGCTGGATATGTGACCAGCAAAAAGGACGTGATACAGTTCATATCGTCGCAATCAGTTGGGGCGGTGTCAAGAGGTTTGATATGAGCCTCTCCTCGGTGTTTTCTACCGCTGTGTTTTTTTCATTTGAGAGGACCATGATTCGTTGAAAAAGCAGCCGCATTCCTCGCCTTCTGACACCGCCACGACTTCCAAGGCGATTGCAGCAGTACTTCGCCCTGTGCATAGGAATAAGTTGGCAGCTTTCCTATTTCAGTTTTCCGTCTTAATCTCTCTAATACATATTTTTGCAGGTATATATAAAACTCGTACAACAGATCACTGACGCCATTTATTAATTACTAACCAATTTTGAATAAAGTGTATTGTAATGTACTGAGTTTTACAGATGACCTCGCGTAAGGTATTTTGGAACATGTCAAGGGTACTGGGTTTGGCGAGGCGCCAGCCTTTTCTCCCCTGAGCTGAGCAGTGGGAATTGACAATTCAGGGTAGAGAACCTGTTGGCACCATGCCAAATCCTGCCCCCTCCCTGCTATACCTCGGCATCAGCAGCGAACAGGACTGTTTTCCCTACTCCGGAACGCATGTGATGTGACAGGGCAATCGTTGTATCGTACTATTTAGGTTTATCTCCCTTTGGATTCATAACACTTCCGCTGCTCCAGTCGACTCACACAAACGAGGAATCGGCCGCCCACTGCCGCATGATGCGCCGCGCGCGACGTGGCAACAATTGCGATTGTCTTGTGCGTCCCGCGAGGCATCACTGCTGCAATGTGCTCTTGGTGGCATATTGGGAGAGGGTGAAAGTAAAGGAGGGGAGCTTGCTATTCTGCTGAAGAAAGCGGTTGCTCTGCAAAGGGATTTTCAAGAGGCCTGATGCAGTCAGTTATTTGGACATTGCTTATTCGAGCTCATGGTCATTTAGTTTTGAGCGTACTTCATACTGCGCGTATTTTTGAGCGCTCTGGCCTTTCGCGCCAGGACTCGGTTGTGCAAGCGGTGAACTGTGTGCCGCCTCCACCCCACCACCCGCGTCTTAGGGTCTTTGTATGTCCCTTTTAACCTCTCCTCCTTACATGGCAAAAAGTAGGCCTTAATGGAGGCGGCAGGTTTCTTGCGGAGATTCAGCACCTCTCCTTGAAGTAGTGTGCGGGTCCTAACAACCGTTCGCGTTGTGGCGTGACCCAAAAGCTCTCCGCTGATGCTATCATCTTGTCAGCACGGGGGACACAATCACTGGTTCGAGAGGAAGCCACCACTTTTTCCATCAATCCCTTTCTTTTTTTCTTTCCAAAATATTGGACAAGAACCGGCTAGCGCGGCGCCAAATCCAGCCCCCTGTCACTTTCCGTTATCTTTCTCACCGGAAGCTCACCCATCTTACAAGCGCTGCTCTTGCATTCGTACCTTGTGACATAAACAAGTATTACAACTTTTTATTTAAACTCTTAAAAGCACTCTTCAACGGGCTCGCTTTATTTATCGGATTGTTTTTGTTGTTGTTGTGTATCATCATAGTATGAGCCGAACATTAATGAAGAACATTCCTTTTGCAGCAATAAATCCACAACTGAGTGCGTTCTGGATAGAGATGGCCTTTATCCTGGAAGAAATGCCATTTCTTCAAGATACACTCATGTGTGCAAGGCTTGGGGAGGGGTGTCAGAACAGACACATCGTTTGTGAAGCGTACCCGTGAAATAAAGAGACTCCAGGAAGCCACGTGCTTAGGTTTCGAGGTTTGCATCACATCAAATCTGCCGAAATTCCGTTCTTGCGATCCCGGCTCCTTTTGCTCATTCTGTAGGGACATGCCATGGGAGCGATGTTACCAGGGCACGGGTCCGACACAGCGAATATCCTAAAGCCGTAGCAGTTAGGGAGCTCCCTTGTCTCAGAGGCTGTGCTAGTGTAACCTAGCCCCTGGGGTTTTATCGCTTGCCGTGGATCCCCTTGTACTTCTGCGCCTACAGGTCCAAAGAGCTGAGACAGCAAGAGACCGATGTTCATTAAGGGGGTGCCACGGGGCTGTGCATCAACTGCCACAGGGCTCTGCACCAGCTTGTCTACTTGTGGAGGTGTGGGTGTGTGGGGTGCTAGTGACCATGTCCTAAACCACAGGAGCAAAGGTTGCTTTTCTATTACGAATTGTCCCACTCCGCCTTGTCTGTGAGCCTGGTGCGCGAGCTCTTCAGCTCGCATCGTTCCCGATAGTGGCACCTGCGCTCTACGAACAGAGTCTCTTCCGTCCCCTTCCCTCCCTGCTCTGCAGTAAACCTTACCATGGCTTTAAGATTCCTTAAACAAAGCTGCAAAATGATATGAGCAATGCCAGCATAAACGAGCGTTAGCAGAAGGTAGATGAACGACAGGCTTCCTGTTACCATCCCTATCAGAAAATTCACTCCAATTGCAGTACCAATTGTACCGCCAAGCAACACTTTCCTACTTCCTTGAGCGTTTTTATTGACGGCCTGAAAGTAAGATGGATTGTTCAGTATTCCCTTTTCTGCACAAGGGGTCCATAAAACGCCCCTTTACAAGATTGCCAGCCCTAAAGACGTACCCCAAATGATGCGGCAATTATCGCAGGAGTAATCACAGCATATGGTATGTAGCTCAAATAAATACTGTCTATGACGAAACCCGTAAGCACTCCTTGTAGAATAGCATATGACAACAGTTCCATACGAATCGACTTATCACCGGTAAGTGCTTGAGAGGCAGCGGCTGCAGCACCGGATTTCTGTAAAGTGATTATTATTGATATCAATGATTATAAATGAATTTGATGTCTGCAGAGTTGTAGGCAATCAATATCCGTACAGACCCTGATCACGGCACTGCGTCGTAGAGAAAGCCGCCTAGTTGCTGAGCAGAACGGTCAACTTCCACTGATCGTTGATTATCCGCCCAGCCTTCCCCCTTGTACATGCTGGGGCGCATCAGGAAAAGCAGGATTTTGCGAACCCCCTTTTTCACCACTGGAGAAGGTGCTGGCGCTAAACCAAGCCTTCCTAACACGCTCGAGAATCGTGGAGAGGCAGACTGTATATCGTTAGAAACCATCGCGATGGGGGAGGTGTTTGTTACTGCTTGAGGTTGTTTGGTGAAAGCGCTATGAACTAGCCTTGAGAGAAGCGTTTCCGAAAAGATAAAAATTTTTTTTGGAGGGGGGAGGGGGTTTCATTTTGACTTTTCTCGGGAACTTCCTGAAGGTAAAGTTGGTAGGTAGTCGGGAGAGTTAGTGATAGGCAGCATTTTGAAGGAACCCATCCTAGAATCAGGATTTCGGGGAGAGGGCGTGGCGACCGCCATCATTCCACACATCAGGATGCTGTGCCCTACAGAACTAGCTCTTTCTCGCAGAATCGGGAACTGTGAGCATATTCGTCGTGGATGTTTGCACAGAACCACTTGCTGAAGTTGCGGCCAGCTCATACCACTCGATCAGTCGTGCACACTGTTCACTTGAAGGCTTGGTCAGCAGCAACCACTTTGCCAGATAGGAGAGTGAAGGCGTGGTCAGCGCTTGACCGACCCCCCCCCCGCCCAAAACTTATGGCAAAGTGGACCGTAGCGGAAGAAAATGCGCGTGGTGACTCGCATGCCAAATTTGGAACGCAACATCCTACCCACGGCTTCCTTTACTTTGGGGCTTATTCCGCGATGTCCGGTTTGGCTGAGAGATGAGCGGAAGCTGATAACTGGGGCCTCCTCACTAGTACGCCTGTCTTTTAGCATGGTGACGAGGAGGGTGCACCAGCGAGGGAGCCAGAGTATTTGTGAGGTCCGCCCATCGGTGACTACCGATTGATATGCTCCGGGCTGGCTACCATAGCCCCATGCCACCTCCGCAGAAATTCGTCGTCTTCAAGGATCTGAAAGTAGCTCACGATTTACATGTTTTTTTATCCGTACCCGGCCAATCATCCACGTTCCATGCGTTTATGCCTATTGCGCTTTCAACCCATGCCCGAAACAAGACCTGGAATCTGGACTTTCTAGTCCTTCCCCTACCACCAAGAATCTAGGCCACTGTGCCGCACATTCGCACCAGACGAGGCGGTACTATGCGCGACGGTTCCCTTTGGGCGCTTTGATAAGGGATAACGCTCATAGATTACGAGACCGCGTTCAT